CTGAGGCAGAAAGCTCACTGCAGCCCGGGAGTTTGAGGTGGCAGTGAGCTATGATGATGCCACTGAACTCTTACTGGGCCAACAGAGTTGGACTCTGTCTAAAAACAAAAGGATCTAAAATAATTTAAACAATGTAGCACTATTGCAGGAAGAGACAGAGGAATCTAAACTTAGCTCATGATCAAATGGGTATTTTGATCAGTGGGAAGAGAAAAATAATAATAAATGATATTATATTTTTACTTAATATCATACACAAAACTAAATCCATATTGACTAAAATGATAAGTGTATAAAAGGAACCAGAACTCCATCATTCTGTGTGTGTATTCATATTTAGAGTTAAATCAATGTATTTAAATTGACCTTCATTTCTTTTTGTTGTTGTTGTTGTTAAATTACATCACATTTATTTTACATTTAACAGCCATGTACAATGTCAGAGCCAGTGGTGTCCACTGGGCCCAGTATAATTCCGAAGGAGCCCGGGCAATGCAAGGAAATGCACAGACTAGTCGGTGACCATCGTTTCTTCAAAAGAAAGACAAGGGGGTTGGAGCAGATGGTCTCCAAGGCTGTTTTCAGATCTACAATAACATTGTAAGGGATATGTAATGTGGCAGGGGAGGGAAAAAAAGTCTAGCAACCAGGTATTTATTCTTTTTTTTTTTCTTTTTTAAGGGAGACAGGCAAGAGAGAATGCAATAAAAGAAATCTGATGATTTTGAAGACACTATGTAGACACTTAATTGGTCTTACCAAGTCCCGTCACTGTTATTGTTGCCTCTGACTGGATCTTTCCAAACTGGTTTTCTGCTTCACAAATATAGGTTCCTTTATCACTTGCCCACAAGTCTAAAAAGAAGAACCCATTTATTCATTTGATACCATCTATAGAGCATTAATTCTGTGCCAAACAATGCTGAGATCTGTGGATGGAACATATGAAACTGCCTTCTGGTAGTTCCCATACTAGGGGAGGAGACACACATGGAAACCAGCATCGGACCACAGTGTGATAAATGCCAGAACAGGAGTTTCAAACAATGAGCTGTGGAAGCACAGAGATAAGAGTGACTGATGGGAGAGGAGTTAGAGAAAGATCCACTTCAGAGGTGGTATCGGAGCCAGACTTCAGAATAGAAGAGGGGGGAGAATAAAGGAAGCATCATTCAAACCTAACAGATTATAAGGCAAAAGCATGACTCAAAAAATCATGGTTTATTCAAAGAATGGAAAGCTGCACCCCCAATGGGCACTGCACCACCACCCTGGAGGCATTTCGGAAGTCTATAGGAGAGATTTTCTTCGCTGGCCCAATAATTATGGGCATGGCATTTAGTGGGCAAAAACTGGAATTATCTCAAGTCTAGCAGGATTTTTGAAGTTTCTGCTGGTTTATATTACATGAGACTATAACCTAATTCTGTACAAGCAGAAGAAAGAACTTTGGCAATAATTATCCACCATTTTAGGAAAATCACATCACTAGCTTGGAGTTTCTGAGTCATCAGCCCTATACTTCTTTATCAGCCTGCATCTGAGCTATGAGATTCATGGTGACACCACATAAACATCTATGCATATCGTACAGGCAAGGCCAAAGTATCTACATACTGAAATGCATCATGTTTTAGTATAAGTTACTTTCCCTTGTTTTCCTTTGTACTACATTTTAGAATTTAAAATTTTTTTTTATTATTTGGGATCAAATGTATGTAATATGTTTTTCAATATAATAAAAGGGTAGTATAAAACATTTGTAATGAAAAGGATATGGGGGCAACCAGAACTGGGACCACAGAGTTACAGGTTGTGTAACTCTAGTTTATAGCCAGGAGCCTGGAGTTGAAAATGTGAGCTGGTGTCTCTTACAGAGCGTGGTTTTGTCTTGTGAGCAATAGAGAAGGCAACAGAAGGCATTAAGTTAAGGGATGATCATAATCTTGTAAATATCTTAACCAGAATAAAGCAGTCCGATCTATTGATAAGATTTGAGAAGAAAGTGTAGCTTTGCATTATGGATAGCTCCTACTGTCACAGAGAAAGAACAATGACAAAGCTTCTATACCCCCGTTGACCATGTGCATCTAACTGCACATCTGCGTCTGGTGAACTCAAGTGGTGTCTGCTCTAAATAGTAATGAACATATATTTAAAAAGGAAAATTCAGCAAATCACCCAGATAATAACTCACGCATTAGTTCCAACCAAGATATTTTTCATATTACCAATGACTGGACTAATTTATGTAGAAATAAAACATATGACTAAGAACTAAGTCTCTTATCACTAATTTCTTTTCATATAATTTATACGATCAGGCAACTGTTTTTTAACATACTGGCCTCCTTTATTCTTTCTCTCCTCCCCTCTAATCAACTTGTTTTCAGGTCTCTTCCCCCCCTTCCCTCGGGGCTATTTCTCATCATCGCCATCACCCTACCTGTGTAACTATTTGGTATTTGGGCTTTCCTATGTTTTCTCCTTTTTCTCATCTCTCCCCTATCTTGTAGAGGCATTATTCTGGGAAACAAGTAAACAACAAAAACCTTTGTGCCTCCCTTCTCTGCCTATGAAACTTGGAAGGAGACCCTCTAATTTCTACATTATCAGCTAGTATGTTTCTTTACCTGGATATTTCAGGTCCTGCACAATCTAACCCAATCCGATGTGGACTTCCCGGTAGCTACTGTCGTGGCTGTTCACCGAGATAGTAGATTGCAAAATGCTTGAGCGAGGGATCCTATATTGGACCTCTGTCTTCACCACCAAGTCTAGCACAGAGCTAATACTAAAACACTTACTTTTAGACAGTTTAGTTTATATCTGGAAGTTCAGTGGCCAATGTATAGTTAACATTGTAAATAAACTTGGAAATCACTAATTGGAGGCTTTCTGTAAAATATCCCCAAGATCCAATTAATTTTAAAAAACCAATTGAGGATCTGAATGTTTTTTTCTTCTCTGGTGTCACCAGGTAAGTACCTATATTCTTGGCATTATTTGAAAAAATCCAATGTGTTTTCAAGTATCTGAATGCTGAATAGGCTCATAGGTAAACTTTTTGGATGATGGAGTATTTGACCTTTTGGAGGGAGAGAGGATCTTTTGCTTTAGGCAGTTACAAGTTTTAGCCAAGGAGTTTCCATAGCATCCCAAAGCACGTCAAAAATAAATACCTAAAGTTAACTGTCTACTGGTAATGTTTTACCTTCCTTCACAGCAATTTTTACAAGAATTAATGCAACATGAACACGATGGATCTACGTGAAGGCACAGGGGACTATTTGCAATGAGAAGCAATAAGGGATGAAGCAGTCATATTGCTTCATAGGCCGTGTGTCAAGTTAGTGGAATATATATGAATAAACTATAATTCATTTATGACAATTCCAAAACACAAAAACCAGAACTCTTTCAAAGTGAAATGCAACAAACCCAAAATATGTTGGCAAGATTCATCCACAATTTTTAAACAGTAATATCTATGTGTGAAACATAAACGTATAACATCAATGTACATATTTGTATAAAATGTATTTCCTTTAACCTACTTAAAATAAAAAGAGCTCCTGTTTTTAGTTGGCTGATGGAACTAACTGAAAAAGGTCTTGAGAAAATTGGCATGTTGTCTGATCTTCTCCATTGGATCTTCGGTTCTGGATATCCCTGAACATAACAAGGCAATGTCACATTGGATCCAATTTCCATAGAAATATCAGCAGGTTCTTGGATGAAAACTGGATGTGCTACAAGATATTAAAAACCAAGAAAAAAAAGTCATCGACATAGTACTCAGGCATATTCAGAAAAAATAATTATTGAACTGTCGACAGACTCAATTTGAATTGAATTATTGTTCACACAATGTTGTAAATTTACCCTGTAAGTATTATTGCAGTTTTAGACATAGTATTTGTTTCTTTTCTGCTTTATAAATGAATAGAGATGCTTAGAAGTCCAACCATTTCTTTAAAGTTACAGATGATACAAGAACAGGAATGTAAATCGAGTATCTTAAATGAAGAGAAACTTTCATTCTAGAAATTTGTTTTCAATTTTGGTTTATGTCATATTGCTCAAACATCAAGACTATCTCAGACACAAGTTGGTCTTGAAATAAAATAATGTTGACACTATTCACAACTTACTCCTCTTGGCTGAATTTTGAAAGGAACTGTATACCAGAGTTCTTTCTTCAATAATCATTATACAACAAGCTAACAGTATTTACTACGAAATTATATCCTTGCTCAGTATCACCTTCTTGCTTCCCTTATCTTTCACATTTTGGGGGTTAGAGAAATTTAAGTCTGAGAATCAGTAACACAAAAAAGTGATAGATGTAGTACTTGATAAAGGAAGAATAGGAAGTGCTTAACATTTCAGAGTTAAGAAATTATTCAGAAACAATAAAAGTTTTAGATAAAAAAGCTACAGATAGTCACATGATTTAGGCAACCACAGAAACCAGGAGGAGGAGACAGAAATATATCAGAAGCACAGCTTGGAAAACCAGGAATACGATATAAGATGGATACTGCCTGAAACCCCACATAAATGAGCCTCTCAGTGTGTCCCAGAGGTCAGTGAGTAATGATGATGTTTGAGGGATCAGTCAAGGAGAAATGTGTAGGGTACTTTGGAGGCACTGGTTGAAAATTCCCATGTAGGACGCTAAGAGAAGGTACACTAGGAGGGGGCTCTTTGATAAAGTCAAGGTTAAACCTTGGTTAGAAATGACCACTACTTCTTACAGAGTCAGAGACTATATTAGGTGCTTTCAATTATCTCATTTAATCTTCACACTGTTCCTGTGAGAGAGGTAGTTTGTAGCCTCATCTCCAATTATTTCTCTACAGAGTCTCTCTGGGTAATCAGCACTCCTTGTTCTCCTCAAAACAAGGACTAACTTTTCTTACATCAGCAGTACCTATGTTATTATGGCCCCCCTCAAATGGAATGTCTGCTGTTGATCTCTGGCTGTTGAAATGTTGACAATACTTTATTCTAGTTCAGAAGGCCCCTCTTCCATGATGCCATCTTTTGCCATCTGGGCTATACATCATTTTTCCCCTCTCTGAAGTTTCAGAGAATTTAATCTCTATGATTTTTATGGAAGTCACCACTCTCAGCCACATTATGTTTGGCGTTTTTTCTAGGGAGTTTATATTTGAAACCTTATTTTCATCTATATAGCAGTTAAAGTAGTACCTGGGGCACTATTTACGGCTACTACATATTTATGAATGAATTGTTGTAAATTATTAATCAACATGAAAACACTTCAGTAATCACTCAGTCTGTGTGTGTGTTTGCATGTGTCTGTGCTAGTAATAATCTTGACACAGTATGTTTGAACTTGCACTTTTGACAGACACATAGAAATGTCAGAAGCCCCCCTTTTAAAATATTTCCTTTGAGTATTTTATTTTTGGTTCCCCAATTCACCCTTCCCTTTCTTTATTGTTAATTTCAGATTAACATAAGACTACACACGATTAGGTTACATTGTTTGCATTTGTTAGGTAATGTCTGAGTTGTAGTTGAGTCCCTCAGGGGGAAGGTGTGCCATATGCCACTACATTGTACCCGTTAGGTGGGAGCTTATCACCCTCCCTCAGGTCCCCTTCTTGAATTAAGAGGAGCTCAAGCAACAATCACAAAGATGTAGAAAAAATTTAACTCCTGGATAGGTTACTATTCAGCCACAAAAAGATAGAGGCTTTACATCTTTTGTTTTTACCTGCATGGAGTTGAAAACATTCTCCCCAGTAAGTTAACTCAAGATAATAGGAAAAGCAAGCATCATATGTGCTCAATACTAATTCAAAACTAGTAAATGAACAACTACACACCCGCATGAGAGAAAAATAATTAAATTCAAGCAAACACCTTTTAGGCCGGGCGCAGTGGCTCATGCCTGGAATCCCAGCACTCTGGGAGGCCAAGGTGGGCTGATTGCCTGAGCTCATGAGTCCGAGACCAGCCTAAGCCAGAGAGTGAGACCCTGTCTCTATAAATAGCCAGGCATTGTGGTGAGTGCCTTTAGTCACAACTACTTGGGAGGCTGAGGCAAGAGAATTGCTTGAACTCAAGCATTTGAGGTTGCTGTGAGCTAGGACACCATGGCACTCTACCAAGAGCAACAAAGCAAAACTCTGTCTCAATAAATAAATAAATAAATTTTTAAAAAAGAAGCCACTTTTTTTATTGACTCTAAACAAAATTAAATTAAATTCCGCAGTTGAACATTATATTTTTAAAAACAAGTAGTGTATGTTTAGATTTGTCTTAATTCATGTGTATGAGAATTCAACTTATAAAAATAATAGACAAAACAAATATGTTTTAAACATAGTTTATAAAGCAGCTCATAGCTTGCTTACCCTAAGTTTCTGAGACCTAGTTACTTTCCTCTGAATAAACAGAAGTCATTTACTCTAGAGCAAGTAGCTTTTCTGGAAAATGGTGCTCAAGTGTAAAGTCTTCATGATGCTTAGGCTCAGAGGATGGTCAGGTGAATGCAATGATGGACAGAAAATACATTCCAGAAAAGCAGAAAAGATATGCAGAAAGTCCACAAGCACTGGGAAGAGAACTCAGTCAACTGACACATCAGAACATAGGCATCAGTGAAAATGAGAAAAAATGGAATTTTCATAACTAAGAAAGCCAAGAACAAAAAGTATAACCAAATCTCAGGTTGTACCAACAATGCTCAATTGGAGCAGAAGTCAGCTAGTGGGAAGCAGCTTTGGGAACAGCATCCATGTGCAAGACAAGCGCAAGGTCAAGAATAGAGGTACTTGAATCAGAAAACAAGTCAGATGAGAATACCAGGCGCTAGGTAAGCAGCCAAGACAGCGTTAATGACAAGCAAACCTCAAAAACGAAGCAGTTCTTAACCCAGCCAAGAAGCTTTTTAAACACTTCCTACTTCTGAGTGTGGCCAACACAAACTCCAAGTGAATTACACTAGGTGGATGGTAAACAGATTAGGGAAGAATACCAGTGAAGTACGGTGTATGATGCTTGACCAGAAGAGGACTGTTTGCTCAGAAAGGTGAATGAAAGTGTTTTCAAATGGTCGTTCTACTATTGCTTCATCTGTATGCTTGAGAAAACTATCATTTTTTGGAAAAAATATATTACCTCTTTCAGTTTAAATTTCCTCCTGAATAAAAAGGAGATAACATTTTGTATCATAGGTTGTTAAAAGAGATAAGGTTAATTAATCATTTAGTGTATAGTAATCACCCGAATATTAACTATCATTAAAATACGTAAAATATCATATCGATCAACTGATTATAGCTCATTTCAGGAGTCTAATACTTCCAGTGTTAATTTCAATTTTAGCTCCCTCATTAAATCTGTTAGGGTAATATTTAATCCTCTAGGTCCCCTAAGTATTTGTGCGCAAGGACTCGAGGACTATGCAGGGTTAACGCCACAGCACAGCTTTGTTGTCACTTATATAGAGATATGGCTACGTGCACACATTATTTTGAAAATATAAAAATCATAAAGAGATTGATTATCTAACACTAAAATACAATAATTCTATGACCCTGAGGGAAAATTAAATGTATATACCCAATACGGCAACTCTTGCATTACTTTAGTCACAGGTTTTCTTTCTGAAAATGACTGAACACGTTGTCTTGGTTCTACCAAACCACAAAGCATGAAACCACAGTCTAAGACTCAAACCTTGTGTGGTGTGGAATGCTACAAATAAAATCGTTGCCAGGCCAACATTTTGTCTGATGGAGCTAATCCTCTCTTCTTCCAAATGACTTCATGATTCACTATCCCTTTTTACAAAGGATAAAAACTATTGGTAACTTTCCGTGTTGACCTGAAATATCCATAATTTAAAGCCATGATAATGAGCGATAGGAAAAAGAACACTCAGTACAAGAACCTAGAAATCAGAAATGATAATAATAGTCTTTTCATTATTTTATTGATCTAGTATTGCTGATGTGAAATAATAGGCCCACAAAAACAATCTAAAAGTCCAAATAGCTACATGATATGTATAAAAGCATGTTTTTCTGCTTAAGTCATAAGCTACTTAAATTTATGCTGAATAGTTCTGGAACTCAAATGAATAATTTCATGCAGTAATTAGTCAAGTTAAGCTTTGTACTTAACTTGTCTCAAGCCCTTTCTTAAGAAAGTCAAGTTGAGACGATGACTTTGTATTAAAAATTCAGTACTTAATCTTACATATTATGTTCCTATTATGTAGACATTTCCTTATTATTTTTCAAGACCCAAAGACTCAAGATGACCACTTCATTTGTAAAGTTAACATTCATCTACTTGATATATGCTGCATTAAACAGTAAAGAGAAGAGTTATGGTGACATGTTGAGTGTACATGGGTGATGATGTCTCATCTTTACAACCAACTCATGAGGTAGATGTACACCACTTATATCTATTTTATAGATGAGCAAAGCCAGGCAGAAAACCCATTCTTTCTCCAGAGTCTATTCTTTTAACCACTATATAAATTCTGGGGATAGTTTTGATTTTTAGTGTGTTTGCCTTTAAATTTAACTGTGATGAATGCAACCATAAGTACAGCTGTACTTGGCATGGTTCTTGGCATTTCCATCTTGTATCTGCTACAGTATGTAACAGTAGTTTTATACTGTAAGAAAAGACAGTTCTGATAAACCTTTGCAAACTACGACAGGAGGGATGTAATGGTGAATAAGGAACTAGTTAGGGCATCACAGAAACATGAGTGGGGCTGCCTTTAACACTAAGTTATTTGGCAATTGTAAACAATGGTCAAGGTTACAGTAAGCAAATAATTCAGTTTGTATTAATAGTTCTTTCAGGACAATCACTGGAATAGAAGTTGAGAAAGACATTGTCTTAGAAAGGGTCATGAATGGTGAAGATCTTGAGTATATGTCAAGATAAGACAAAGTCCAGTTCAAGGATTGAAGCATAAATACAAAGCATTGGTTGGAATGTTTCCTAATCTGACGCAAGTCCCCTTAGCACAGACAGCCCTCATCCTTGGCGGTGTATCACTGTATAGAATGGAGAACCTGGAAAACCCAGAGCTGTAAAAAGATTATCAAGGAAGCAGAATGTGAAAAAACTATAAAATTCTTAGGTTTCCTACAAACTTGGAGGAGGCTGAGGGGGGCATACCTTTTCGCTGGGAACAATTACTGAGGCTGTTTCTCTCTTCTTCTAGAGCTAGACAACTTTAAAAGAGTGTTGGGTAAATATGAAATATCTGTGCAGAAAAGAGGGAGAAGCAGAACTAGAAAATGTTGAGAACTCAAATGCTATATACTCAGTACCTTTCTTGAAAATAACAATTCTGTACCTAGTGACCCTTTTCATTTGGACCTTATAATTCTAAAAGCATTATTATGCTTCACACCCTGTCGGTAAGTTCAGAGATACCCTCCACTCAGAGATTCTGATCTTATTTTTAAGGCTTTTCTCTTAATAACCACAGTGGTTAGTCATGGTTCAAACATATCATGACGTATTCAAGACAGATTCTACAGTGGTCTCTGTGGTCATCTCCAGCTTTGTTGATTCTACTGCAAGGACAAAATCACCAAGAACCTCACAGGCAGCCCAGGAGCAGAGGCATCAGAAAAGATCCCAGGAGAAAAAAATTCATTTATGTGAAAATTGAAAGCTTAGATGGTCATAGTTTTCATTTAAAGACTTTAAAGACTTAAAGATAGCAGAACTAAAATGTTTTGAGTTATTTACTATATTTTTTGAAAAAGATGGATTTTCTTTGCAGTTCCTAACTTTTCTTAATAAAAAATTTTGGCATGTGGGTGGTGCCTATGGCTCAAAGGGATAGGCACCAGCCCCATATACTGGAGGTGGTGGGTTCAAACCCAGCCCCAGCCAAAAAAAAAAAAAAATGGCATAAAAAGCATCATACATAAATGAAAATACAATACAATTGAATGAAATGTCATATTTTATCAGTTTTAAGTGATACAGCTGTCTAATTATCTGTTAAAATTAATCTGCCAGATTCCTTTTTATATACGCTGAGCTGTTTTATTACATGTTTTACCACATTGTGAAGAGTTTTTTTTTTTTAACAGATGTGAGATAGACAAAGAAGGAGAGAGGACCAAACGTCTCAAGTAACCTAAATATAGTTGTCATGCATACACTGCATTCTTCCTATTATGATTGACTTGTAGCCATAGTACTTTATTTTACACACTGAGGAGTAATTGCTAGTGAATTTATTTAAAATTAAAAGCAAAGCAAAAGAACAATCTCCTACCTTTGCTGTTATTGGACATCTTCAAATTATGGTCTAGGGCAAAAGTCTAATTTCTGGAATCCAGATGTTAATACTTAGAACCCTTTTAGCAGAATGAATGATTCTTGACAGGAAAATGGCAAAACATAAGGTACTGGTGAAGCCTATAGTATCTGGAGTCAGATAACTTAAGTTTAAATATCCAGGCTCTGCATCTCCTTAGCTCTGTGATCATGATTAAGTTGTTTAGCCTTTGATAAAGCTGATAAACCTGATATATCTCAGTTTCCTTATCAATAGAATGGAGATAATCATGGGATTCTCCTCTTAGAGTTGTCATGAGAGTTTAATGAGTTAATGCATATAAAAGTTCTTGGCACATTCAATGGTACATGGAAAGCACAGGCAAATCCTAACTCCCATTATTATATTAATAATCTGAAGTGTTCTTCCTAATTTTGCTACTCTGAAAAATAGGTCTACTACATGGTTTCAAAGTTACCAAACACAGAAGAATGACAGATAACTTTAAAACAAATTCATCTGTTGGATCTGCATGCTTACAGCCAACATCCAGGGTTATCCTGCCCGTTGCTCTTCCAGCATCATTGATGGCTACACAGGTATAATCACCAGCATCCAGATCTTGTGTTTCTTGAATCTTCAAAAGTCCCAAGAAAGGATCAATAATGAGGAATGTTGAGGATCTCAACTCAAGATCTCCTAAGTCAAAACAGAGAGGAAAACATTAAATGCTAAAGTATTTACACCAGCTATTGGTCTGATTTCAAAAGTTCTGAATAAAGTTGACTGCAAAGTTTTTAAATACATGAGTCTAGCACAACATGATGCTTTCTAAAAGCTAAAATTGTGACCTGTAATAAATGTGTACAAATATTTCCTATATACATATATCTGTGTATGTACTGACATAAATAAGAATAAGCTCTTTGAAGCTACATTGGAGAGCTAGGAAAGGTTGGTAGCTATACCCAATGCTACATTAGGGAAGAAGGGAATGGGAAGATGAGAGTTAAGAAGAGGTTTCTACCATCTTCATAGCAGGATATATTTTGGTTTCTCAAGACATTCTTGAAAGACTGGAGGTTTTCTAGGTTTAGCTAATTGCCAGCACCTCATACATTATTGGAAGGCAGATGATGCCCCTTCAAAGCTGTGACTTAGGCTAAGCTTTTTCTTGCAAGTTACCTCCTTCAAGGTGTTTCCTCTCCAGAGAATGAAATTAACCAGGATGACCAGTATCATAAAAAATACACAGTACTGGATGTTTAATGCTCGGTACACGGATTATTTTTGTTTGTTTTTATAAAGGGGAATACCAAACATGTCAAGATCTAGAAAACTTCCAGGAATTTTGAGGGGCACCACTCTTAAGAGTTTCATAGCATTCTCAGGTACTCTCCAATATCACACACCAGCCTCATATCCTGAAGATAATAAAACTAACTCTTAGCTTCTAATAGGCAAAGAAAATCCAGGAGCCAGGGCTATAATTCCCTAGGGCACTGAAAACAGCACCAACTAACAGTCTCAGCACAACAGACAATTCTCTTTGTGTTTATATACTTTTCACAGGAGAGAAGGCCAAAGGAATCAGAATTTTAGAAACAAAATTACATTAGCAACCAACTGTCGGTGCCAAAACAAAGTATTTTGCAGCATTCCAGTATTTAAAACCCCAATTATCCTGTACGCTTGCTACTGCATACCACGTGAGAATGAGAGCAGCAACAAAAGCTATGTGCTTCTGAGAAATTTTCATAAATGAAAGCAGATGATGTTGACATAAACTTTCCTCCCACCAAGGGAGGATGCAACGTGACCTCACTGCTCATCAAGTATTAAAATGTTTGGACTAAATGGAAATCCATTTAGATTTTTGGAATTTACTTCCCTTCTATATTTCTTTCGTATATGTCAGAGAATATAACAGGGTGAAATAAAGACCTTATTGCTAGAAGTTGTTTTTTCAAATTAAAAATCTTTAAAGAATACCAATCATGTGGTGGGTATACCAAAGACCAGACTCCCCCATCATATACTATATAAACGTCATGGAATGCAACTTGCAACACAAAAAATCTACTAAAATAAAAATCCAAACAAAGAATAGCAGTCATGAAACAAAAATTGGAAAATAATAGTTCAATTAAGTTTGCGTTTCGATCACATTTTGATCTCTCCTTTCTTGATGGCTAGTGAAAAATTACTCATTGAATTATTCAGAAACCATAGAGAACTACAGAATTGTTAGATGCACATGAAATCGGGATTATCTACTTTTAACATTAGATAAGACCCAAACAGGGGTATACGTAGCAAGATACATAAACTGTGCTGATGATCCACTCTAGAATTTTCAAGCATTCTCTTGGAGAAGAGTTCTTTTTCTGGGGCAGTTTAAATTCAATCCTGGCCTCTGTAGATATAAAGACTAAAAAAGATCATTATCTCTGATTTAAGATCCCTTCAAATAGTTGATGAGAATTAAGTAGTTAGAAAATGTTTGTGTTAAGACTCCCTAACAGTACTCTAAAAAATTATTAAAATTATTATGGGCCCTAGTGAATTATTGTTTATGTGGATCAAACTTGTTTAGTATTTTAGCAATCAACATAAGAAATCTAAAAATATATGCATCTGCTTGTTTTATAATAAACTCAGGACATTTTAACATAATTAACATATTTTATTTTAAAAAATTGTATTTTGCAAAGCAAGAGAAGTTTAAAGGAGAAGAGTAGCATTGTTTCACATTTTTGCAAAGTTCTATAATGTTTCCTGTCTAGCATAACAGCAGACAGCTGAGGGCTCATATTTGTTTCTGTATTCAGCCTATTAGCTATCACACAACACAGAGCCTTTAGAAACTCCATTATTCGTTTGTGAGACAATGACAGTGAAAATAGTCTTATTTCTTATTATTATGAAAATAGTTTTGATCTTGTGGATCCCCTAAAAGAACTGTGGGAATTTCCAGAGATGTGAAACCACATTTTTAAGAACCACTGCTCTAAATAAATCCAA